CTTGTGACGGGTACCACTGTAGCAATGATTTCTCATGATGTGCGCGTAGATTGGCTAGAGTTAAGCGAAACAGGTCACAGATTGCTATCAAGAGACAAGAGAGCCAGGTAACAAGATACTTTTTTTCTGTTGAATTTTTGTTACATAGAATAATGATACAGGTTGTGGTTGAGCGACGACTTGGGTGGACGAAATTTACTCTTAACCGGAGTCAGCTTCGCCTCCTGGGTGTTGGGCAGCGATGTGGTCGTGGCTCAGAGTAACCAAACATTGGCAGTTTGGTACAACGTGGATGCTCCAGAAGTAGCCACGCTGATCCCAGTTCGTGGGGACGCCATAGATATCGTCAGAGAAGATGGCCGAACCTCTGTCACAGTGGATGAGTTAGGTGGAAAAGTAGCCTACTTGCTGGACGAACCTCTGATTGAATTTGGTACTGCGTTGCACGACAACGACTTCGGTAGAGCTTTACTGTTCCTGGAGGAGTTGGCAGATAGACCTCAAGCAGAGGCCATGTGGGAGAATGTAGCTAGAAATGCGATGGCTACTAGACAATTGCTGGTCGCTGCTAGGTGCTATGCAGCTCTGGGGGATGTGGCTTGTTCCAGGTTAGATTAGTACAGGGTTTCTTCTTTGAATTGTTACAGAGTATCTTTTCATCGTTATAATTCTCTAGATTTCTGAAGAATATCATAGCTGTTGGAGAAAAGTACAGCCTTGAGACTGGAAACGACCCCCTCTCAAGCCCAGATTGTTGGGCCAAGCTCGCAATTCTCAATGGCGAGCTGAAGACAGCTGAGGCTATCTACTTGGAGCAGAACGAATTAAACCAGGCTCTTAACATGTATCAGAAGTATTGGCGATGGGAAGATGCGCTGTTCCTAGCACAGAATCGTGGCTGGCCTGGTTTACTAGAACTCAGAGACAGGTATTTAACGTGGCTGCTGGAAAGCGAACAAGCAGCTAGGGCTGCTGCTATCCTGGAAGTCTCCAACCCACGACGAGCAGTCAAACTATACCTGGAGGCTCGTCGAGCCGGGCGGGCAGCCCGGCTAGTTCTGGCGAACGATGAACTATTAGAAGACAAATCTATCGTTAAGGAAATTGTCAGGGTACTAAAAGCAACAGATCTGATGGAGCTTGCGGGGGAACTATTAGAAAAGACTTCGGAACCTTTGGAAGCTATCGCATGCTATTCTCAAGCTGGAATATTTGCGAGGGCTCTGGAATTGGCTAGAAAAGTAGATCCCACCTCAGTGGTGGACTTGGAGCGTGATTGGGGCAAGCACTTGTCCTCTGTTGGTCATTATGATGCAGCTATCAATCACTTCATCGAAGCTGGGGAAACTGCGCTAGCTCTGGATGCCGCTATTAACGCACGCCAGTGGAGAAAGGGTTTGCAGATTTTGCAAGTACGTGTTTTTGTCGATTCCCCTTAAGAAGAGAAGACTCTAGACTCTATTCTAATTTTCTTCTTTTTATTCGCTCAGGTGATCGAGGACGACAATGTAGCGATACGAAAGAAGTGCGAGAAATTAGCAGAGTATTTCGCTTCTATAGGCGAGAAGAACGTAGCAGAGAGACTCCTCCTTAGGGCTGGGGATGCTCGACGTGCGGTGGATGTCCATGTGCAGAACGGCAATTGGATTCGTGCATACGAAGTGGCTAAAGAACACATGACTCCAGAGGAAGCGAACGAGGTGCTGGCCAAGCACGCGGCCATTCTGTGCGACGCAGGTGACTTGAAGCACGCCGAAGAACTGTACCTTGCCATAGGTGAACATGATAAGGCCATAGCCATGCACAAGAAGGCAGGCCGTCGCTCAGACATGGTGAGATTGGTAGGAAAGTACAGGCCAGATCTGCTGGAGACAACTCACGCGCACTTGGCGAAGGAGTTGAGTGCTTCTGGAAAGCCTCGAGAAGCTGAAGAGCATTATCTTGCTGCTGGAGATTGGAGAGGTGCTGTTACCACTTACAGATCAGCCAACTTGTGGGAGGACGCTCTTCGAGTCGCCAAACAGGGTGCTGGAGACGCTGCTGCACAGCAAGTAAATATATGTTCAACAATGATCTTATGGTCTAGCTCCAACTTTATCTTCAATTTCTTGTCTCAATGATACTCATTTTTCGGCAGGTCGCCTTAATGTGGGCACGTTCACTAGCCCCAGAACTGGGAACAAAATTACTGATACGCGTAGGCTACTTGAACAGTTGTCTTCAACTAGCATGCGAAGCTGGACTGTTCGACTGGGCGTTGGAAATTGCCAAATATGCCGATGATGATCAAAAGAAAGAGGTCCACTATAGATACGCTATGGCGCTGGAGGACGCTGGTCGTTTCTCCGACGCTGAGAAGGAATTCATCAAAGCAGGAAGGACTATGGAGGCTGTCCAAATGTACATACACACTCGTGACTGGGAAGCTGCTGAAGATGTGGCGCAAACAATCAACCAGGATGCTGTTTCACAAGTTCTTATCGCCAGGGCTGCCGATGCAACGGAATCTCAGAATTATTCTCTTGCGGAAACTTTATTGTTGAGGGCCCACAAACCTGAGATTATCATCGATCATTATAAGGTGATATTTTTAAAACAATGGATCAAAATAAACGTGGAAGAAATTAGCTTAATCCAACGTTGAAATATTACAGGCTGCAGGAATGTGGTCCGATGCATTACGTGTTTGTAGAGAGTACTTGCCAAGTCAAGAGACGAATCTTCGACGCGAATTGGGTCAGAAAAGTGCTTCTCTGACTGGGGTGGATGCTTTTGAGGAAGCTAAGAAATGGTTGGAGGTCGGAGAAGTGCGAACAGCTTTGGATATCTTGATTCTTGATCCCCAGGCACCCAGGTCGTCCCTTATTCGAGCAGCTGAGATTGTGCTTCATCAGGCTGACCCAGAAACAACAACACAAGTTGGGGCTGACCTTGGCTCAAGATTGTTTGCCATTGGCGAACATGTTCTGGCTGCACAGGTATTCTTGCAAGCAGATAGATTGAAGGACGCCATAGAAGCGTTAGCGTCAGTAGGGGAGTGGGAAAGAGCTAGACGCATAGTAAGAGAACTCGCACCAGATATCGAGCCCTACTTGGAAGATAAGTACAAGGAAGCTATGTTGAGAGACGGACAGATAGATAGACTGGTGGAAATAGATATGGATGCTGGCTTGGAAATGCTAGCAAGCAAGGGACAATGGAATCAACTATTTGAAACAGCAAGTAGCTCCCAAAACTCTCAAACTCTGCACAGATATTTGGCGCAGCGAGCGGTACAACTTCTGAAAGGGCACTCGCCACTTGAAGCTCTGCAATTGTATGCTAAATACGGAGCACCTCCTATTCCACAAAATTTTAACCTCTATCTACAGTTGGCGGAGAGTGTTCTTAACTCAGAGGCATATTACCAGTATAAGCATTTAGCCCTTCTGCGCATCGTTCTCTTGGACATCTGGAAAAATTTAAAGTCTACTACTGCGCCTAGATCCAAATTTGAGAGACTACTTCAGTCGTCTCACTACGCAGCTGTAAAACGTGCGTGTAGCGATTATCCTGTGCTCTCTGGACTGGTTTTAAAGTGCTCTATCACTCTGCTGAGGTACACCGACTTCCTTCTGGCTGACCGAGCCTACTATGAAGCTGGCGTCGAAGCACGAACAGCTGGATTAAGCAGTGAAGCCTTTGTTTTCTTAAACCATTTCCTTGACTTGGAAGAATGTATCGAGGAAGGTGACAGCACAGTGTTGGATGTGGATGACCTGGCTGTAACGGATTTCCCAACAGAGGTTCCGCTGCCAGAATCCCTGAGCATGTCAATGGAACAACGAGAAGAAGCTCGCGAATGGGTGCTTACGGTGTCTATGGATCAAAAGGTGGAGCAAGTCTTACCTGTTGATCATAGAGGTGTTTATGTGGGTTCGTTAAGTTCCCCGTCGGAAGGAGCAGGAGCTCTTCAAGCCTGTATTTTGACAGGTTTTCCTGTGCGGGGCCCGACAATTCGGTTTGCAGAGGTAGATTATTATCGTCGTGTTACATTTGTCTTCGTAGTATAACAATCGATTACTGTGTCTTTTAATAAGGGTGAGGCTGTGGCAGATCGTGACGATTGGACAAAATTAATCAACACAGCACGACAAACTTCCCAGGAGTCTGTGCTCAACGATGTCCTCGCTTTTGTTCAAGAGTGGTGCGGAGCAGTTCCCAGTTATTCTTTTTGAAGACATTCTACACTCTACTTTTTCATTAAACTGCTTATGCTTGATAGAATATATTTAAGGTAAAGGTTACACTGGAAATTTTAACAACTCTTTCCTAACTAGGATTTGTGTTTTCTGTTTTGCAGGTATGGTGGAAATACAGAAACAACGGAGATCTTTCATTTCTCTAGAATTTATTTAAATAAGGCTGCATTATGTAAATAATTAGTCTAACTTAAGCATAAATAATTCTATATTGTGTGAATATACATGCGTACATAATGTGTGTCCATGGGATTCTCACATCTTACTTTAAACTGACTCTATATATAACTAAAACCTTGACAAGTTGTTGAGATAGCTATCACTCGTTGTCCAAATACCTATCCGCAATGAGCACTCACATGACTACTTGGTGAAGACTATGCACGCGTTGCATTTGTACACAGGCTGTATCTTAATAACAATAGTACAAGTTTAGCAGGATGAAACATAATAATTTCTAAAACTCTCGAATTTCTTCTTTTATATATCTATAGATCCTTAATGCGTCTTAGGCTTATACTTGATCACCTAAATTAAGACAAAATGAAGAAAAAATAAATAAATTTAAGAAAAACTTTGCAAGACAGACGAAAGTTAAGTGAATCGTGGACAAAAGTGTTTAGAATATACTGGAAAACAGTGCAAGCTTTGTTAACTATATTTTAAAATCTGCTATCAGTACTATCTGCTACTGATTAAAATTAAGTGATTGATCTCAATGTGCTTGCAACGAAGGTGATAATGTTACTCGTCACGAAATTGCTCTCAATCGTTTTATTTTCATCTAAATATTTACCATTTTCTAGTGTTTTAAATATACAGAGTGTTTCAAATAATGTATCATAAAAAAGATACTTAAATCCACGATAAGATAATCCTCGAAACTTCTACGTACCTATTAGCCATCAAGTTTTCAACTTATATCGGACTTACAAAGTTGGTAATCAATTCTATATAAAAATATCGAAAATCATCTTCGGTTAGAAATCTTGTACAATATACATCGTAAATCTTCAATCATATACCTCAATTAATCCGATGAAATTATTCGACTAATCCACTCTACAGATTGCAAGTTTCAGCTCAGTTTAAATATCTCCCACAACATAGTCATCTCTAACAACAGAAAGCATACCAAGGAACTTAATTAACCAAAACTATACAAGACATTTCTATGCTGCACCCTGGAAATACATTCAAACCCAGTCGCGAACACCGATCCTGTACAACCACTGAGTGATCAAGAACGCAACTGTTATCTTCTCAACGACTAATTACTACTGCTGAGTGATCCTGAATACAGGGCCAATCCTTAAGAAGAATCTCCGCAGAACGGACCGCATCTCCGGCTTGAGATCAAAGCACATCATTTCGCAGAGCAAGGGGTAGCAGCTGGAGGCGTGAACGGCGAACCGATTGTCGCTCATCTTGAGGATCCTGGTCAGAAGGAGCAGCAGAATAGGTGTCCAGGCGTCTCTATGTGCTTCGTTCGACAGCGCCAAGAAATACTCTAGTGCCTCACAGGCCACCTCGACCAGCCTGCCTTCTACTTTGTTCCAATCTGCTCTGTGAGCCTCGTCGCTGTACATCTTGAAGAGAATGCGCAGCGCGCAGGCCAGAGACTGAGTCTCCTGCTTCAGCAGATTTGGTTTCAGGTTGCCGCGAAATCCTGCTTTCCAGAGAACGTTCCGCTGTTCGTGGTTGGAATTGAAACTTTTGGCGAACCGGTGTGACTTCAGCAGGCACTCGACCAGTTGCAGAAGGTGCGTGGTCGTCAAGGCGCAGTACATGCCCTGTTCTTCTTTTTGTTGGTCAGCACCGGCTCTGACACCCAGCTCAGAGGACTTTCCGTTGAACATGTCCGCCTGCGCCAGCGCTAGGTTCTCTTGGTCCTCTTTGCGCGACGTGGCAGGATAAAACACGATGTTGTCTATCGTTTGGATCAGTTCCAGCTGGACCACACACTTGATCAGCAGCGCGGAAAAGACTCTGTTCTTCACAGTTTCGCCATTCGTTAGGCTCTGGGAACTGTTGCTTCTCTTTAGGATACCCACGTGGTTGTCCACTTCGCCAATGATCACGTCCAGGTCAGATTCCTTGTTGGGCGACTGTGGCTTCCATGTCAGAAGTGCTGATGGCAAGGTGCTTTCAAAGATGTCAAGGACGCAGCAGCAGGTTTTCTCCCATGTTTTCTCATCGAACTTGATCCCGTTACTGATCACCAGATTCTCCAGGCAGTTGGTGCCTGATCTTGCTAGCTGTTCGTTGTCTTGTTGTACACACCAGAGTAACTGTGAATAGAGTTGCTCCAAGAGGAGTGGACCCAAGGTGTCGTAGAACTGCGAGAACACGTCCACGATGGCGTACAGAGCATGATTGCACGTGGTGGTCATCCATTCTGCTTTCTCCGTGTGTTGCTCCGGAAGCTTCATATTGTCGAATATTCTGAATAGAACTTGGAAAAGATCCTTCCACCAATGTGGTTTGAAAGATGCTCCATGTGTCTTCACAACGTCGAACAAAACAGTCAGTGCTCTTGTTCGTACATCTAATTTACATCTGCTCACTATGCAAGATAGCTCGAATAGCAGAGGAAACCATCCCCTTACCCAAGCTCTATCTTCTTCGGACACCATTCCACTGTCATCCATCATGACCTCCGTGAAAAGATTCGGATTAGCATCTATGTAAGAAGCGCAGGAACGTATCAATCTTATAGCCTCCATGCTTGTTTCTGGGAAGGAGGCGTTGCAAGCGAATTCACTGAGGCATTTGACCGCGTCTTGGAAGGAGTCGACCATGATACTGAAGTCTTCGGCGTATAATTCATTGATGATTTTGCCCGTCATAGAAAACGCCAGCTCGACAACAGCTTCGTCTCTGTCGCTGGCAGCGTGATGGAAAACACTGAATATATTCTTCCATCCCGATCGAATGTTAGGAGCTTGCGAATGAACAATTTGAGCTACACAGCGGACGACCATGTCTCTAATTACCGGTGATCTGTTCTTTTTCATGATATGCTCAAAGGGTCTCAGGAAATCCTTTTGAAACCTGAAGTTGGCGAACTCTCCTTTCTCGATGAACTTCGTTGCAAGTTGTCGCAAGGAATCAACCGCAAAGAATGCGATCTCTTGACGGGGGCTGCAGCCGACCCTGTCGAAGTGATCTCCTATCACTTGCCAGATCCTGGACCATTGAAGCCTGATACGACCCATGTTGTAGTAAGAGATTTCAACTATCTTAGTTAGAGAGAACATGCGTGGCTGAGTCGGATGGGACAATTCCTCCAGAGAGACCTGACAAAGAGCTTCCACGAACTCTACGATCGCATCTCCGTCTAATCTAGTAGACCCAGTGAATATTCTGTCGACAGCCACTACTACGCTTTGGGAACTTGTTTCCCCTATCGATTCTTTTACGCTTGGGTCAAGCGAACTGAGATTCAAATTGTTGGTCTGATGTGAGCTATTGTGAGTCAGAGTGAAATTCACCAATGGCGAAGGAAAATGTGGCTTCGATGGAGGACCCAGAAGCTGCGGTCTGACTCCTGTACCGATCAGCTGCGCCAGCTCGAGCTGTGAGATACATTTCACAACGTCTAACCAAGAGCTGCCGAGGTAGTTGCCATCGGTATGAGCGACAGTAATCAGAGTTTTTATAGTGTCGATGTTCTTCGCCTTCATCTCCGTGATAGGAGAGTTTGCAGTCAGCAAAGTAAATCGCGCCAATGCTTGAACGTATGCATCGCGTTCCAACATCATGTGGAATATGCAAGCGATACGTATGGCGCATCTGATGCCGTCCAAACACAGAGAAGCGATTTCAGGGTCGTCGCAGTTCTGAAGACCGACACTGAACGCAGCCAAAAATGGTGTCCAAGCAATTTTAAACATGGGCCGTACATGCTCCAAATGCTTGGCAGTGGTGAATGGCGCTTGAACGTGACTTACAGATTCCATCAGGTTCTTGGCCGCAGTAGAGATTACTTCCATTTCCATGTTCCATAAAAGCCTTCGCTTCTTTTCACTGGATATTACTTGTTTTCCAGGTCGGTTGGGGTTAGATTTCATCTTGATCTCGTTGCCCGCTATTTCGTCGTAAATTTTTGATAAATACTCCTCTGGCAGATCCTCGTTGTCGCTTATACGTCGATTCAATTTAATGTATTGCTCTTTTGTCATTTTACTTTTAACCTGAGGTGAGTGAAGGTCGGTGGTAAGCATGATGATGGAGAAACCCAACACGTAAGCAGTATCGGCACTTGTGAATAAGCCGTTGCTAAAAAATAAAGAAAATTTTTCCATTAACGTTCGAGTTATTTTATAGCAACAGAGGAGACCAATTTCAGTGTTCCATGGGTACTTACTTTGGATTGCATTCACAATACCGGCTGGCGAACTTCTCCATCAACCGATCGATCTTTTGCGCTTCGCCTGGCAGCCTAAAGCCCTCCAAAAAGTATCTGAGAGCTGTAACTAAATCACGATCGGCAAAGTTCATTTGATCAATGTAGCTGTACATCACCTGATTGTGATTATGGTCGCCGAGAAAATCGCCTATCGCTGTTTTGTCGAGTCGTTCGTCCATGTGGAGCCAACGAGCTACATCTTCCGATGAATTACCCAGAAGACCTTGCTCTTGAAGATACTGTACTCCTTTGCTTGGCTTTCGATTGAAGCTAGAGGTATAAATACTCTTTAATAAAGCGCATAGATATAGGTAGACAAATAAAGGGCAACTATGTACATTTCGATTCCCGTCTCCCAGACTTCCTTTTGCTGCTTCTGCACTTCGTACTGTTCAGGCGAGTCAGGAATTTCTTTGTTGCCTACCAAGCTGGAGTTCGCGGAGGACAGACTCCCTGCGCTTCCGTAACGTGGCAACGGAAGCTCTACAGGGGGATCAAGTGGCTCTAGTGGTAGCTGTTGGTCTGCTGGAACGCTTGGGTTCACGTATAAGTCTCTGCTCCACTCGACCATGCACTTTAAGATCGAAACTAGACATTCAAGTCCTCTGATACGCATGGATTTCTCCTGGTTAGGAGAGGCACCCAATTCTAGTGCTTGCCTACCCTGCGCGATCTTTGATAAGTCATTCACGAGTCTGCAAGAAAGAAAAAAAATATAGATTGTCACTACTGACAAAGTAGATGGGTAAATAATGGCTCGTACATCTCCAAATATGTGCGACGGTCATATAAGCCATCGTTTACCCATCCCTACTATTTTATTTACATTTTCCCACCTCTCAAATAAATTTGCAGCAGAAAGGTCGCAATCATAGTTCACGTATATGTCAACGACGCTTTGTGCATCCGCACAAATGCGTGTCAAAGCATGGATCACCATCCACTTGTGCTCAAAGGAACTACTTGAAGTTTCCAAAATGTTCAAGAAGATTTCCTTGAAGAACACTTCTATCTGCATCTTTAAGTGCACTTTGAAACGTGCCAGTAACGTGAGGAACAATGCCAACGAAAGTTCAAACACTTCAGGAACTGAGGAGACACCGTTCTTGGAGAGGGCGACGCAGAGGTACTGTTTTATGCCTATGACGAACATTTCGTTTGAACGCAACACTGGCCCTGCGTTTTGCAGTATGCCAAGAAGCAGCTGCAGGGACAGTATCTTCGATCTAAGGTGGTGTGACCTAAAACAATGTAGCAGCGACATTAATAATGTTTCTGGAAAAAATATTTGCATAAAGGAAGCCTGTATATAGAGTTTTTAGTAGAAATGTTATTACTTGGGATCCAAATTGCCATCCAGAAGCGGTTTCATGGAAAGCTTGCAAAGTGCTCTAAAAACCAAGAAGGCATCCTTTTGTAGGACATGCGTGAATTTTGCCCTGACCATATTGTCAGACTCCGTAACTGCCTCGTCAGAGTTTTCATCCATAGGCACTTGGTCCAAACTTGCATCCTCTGAAATCACTATCGTTGTACTGGTGCAGTCCTCTGGCACAACAGAGTTCACGACATCCTCCAGAATTCCTCGAACGATTAGCTGGGGCTCCTGACTCGTTTCCGTCGATGGCTCTTCGTTGTTCGCTGCTTCAGTTTCTAGCTCACTTCCAGAAGTACAGTTGGCGTTATGAACAATTATTTCCGATTGTTCTACTTCATTCCGAACGCTTTCTTCTTCCTGATACCACAAACCAAGAGTGTTTTTATAAAAATTTAATATAATTACTAATATGTATAATAACAAAATGATGAAACATTCTATTATCTACCGCTTGTGTTTCCATCCTTGCGAAAATAACATTGATTATCTGTGTCAACGTAGCCCGAGCAGTAGTCTGATTGACGAGGTTTTTGGAGACCAAATAAACGTTGTAAACAACGCGTATGGCAAGCAGCACAGTGCCCTCGTGAACTTCGACATGCTGACTTGTCATTACTGTGAGAAGGGCTTTTATAATCTGCAGCTGTACACCCTCGTCTGTCTGTAGCCCTATGAAGCATCCGCAAATTGTTTCAACAATGCGCACAATCAATAATTTGTTTGGCTCTATGGAGTCAGGTACATTTCCAGTAAGATGGCCATACGCGATTAGTTTCTGCAGACAATCCAGAGCAGTGACCACGATTCTTGGTGACTTGCTCTGACAAGCCAGTTCGAATGGCAGAAAATATCTTTCAGCGGATATGACGTATGACTCGCTGCGAGGCTGGGGTAAAGCAGTTGAGACCTGCGAGCCTGATACTTCCTTGATCTCATTTCGTAAGTTATCTGTGAAGGAATACAGGAATAATATTAATTTAACAGAAGTTAGATAAATAATGAAATTAATTCTTTCAGCTGCGACAGAGTGTGCAAATTACAAGCATATTTCTAAAAGACAATTGATGCAACTAAAAGACTCGATACAGGGCAGTCAATGGTAGGTACTCGGAGTTGATTCTCTCGTCTTCCAGACCTTGTTGTGTGGAGCACACTTACCAAGGGCAGCCTCGCAAGATTTCCTGAGTTGAGAGAGGTGCGACCGTTTGACGTCCCGGTCGGACAGGATCTTTTCCAATGCTCTAATGATGAACATTTCTTTAGAGTTATCTTGCATCGTCGCCTGGCCAAGCTGAGCCCTATGCTAGGCTGGCATGGAAGAATACGCGACTCGATTCGAGACACGCATCTTCATGATATTCCAAGCAATTCTCCCATAACTTTCTTGTGCATCGTTCACGATCACCTCGAGGAGGTGTTTTTCCCTTCGAGGGAATTGGCAGTTTCTACAGCACTGACGATGAAACAAGGATCGATCAGAAATTCCGGAGTCGATTTATAGCGACGACGAAAGAATGTTCCCTGACGTTTTGTCACGGTGTTAAGCGTCGAAACATCTTGCGTGAAATCACGCGAAACGATTACGAAATAAGGAAAATGACAGCAGCCTTCAAAACAGCGGAGGAATCGGAGCACACCAGAGCAGACAATTCAAGACGTTGAAGGTGAGCCCAGTACTCACACTGACATCTCGTGACGTGAAAAAATATCATAAACTACTCTTATAGATGCGAAACTCTACCATTTTTTTATGTGTCGATTTCCAACGCGTATTTTCGAGGAATTTCATCAGGATTGTTGTTATAATAAACAATGATCTCACAATTTAACAGTATTAGAACAGTTCAGTGGGGCTTAGTACTTCGACATCTTTATACCAAAAGTGTGACTTGAATGCGTATGCGTCGAATTCGAAAACTATACCAAAAATTCCATCTCGATGACAGTCTGACTGCAGCTTCGACCAATGACTGTAGCATTAACTGATACATTTCCCTTCAATTTCCTTTCATTTTCTGTGACATTTCCCTTTAATTTCCCTTCAATTCCTCTTCATTTACTCGCACAATTAACTTTAATTTTCCTTTATTTTCTGTATTTTCCCCCATTTCCTGGCACATTCCTCTTTAATTTCTCTACATTTCTCATTTATTTCCCTTCATTTCCATTCATTTCTTTGCCACCTCCTCTCTCATTATGTGATCCTGATAAAAGAGGTAAGTATAAGAGGTAAGTATTAAAGTATAAAAACGAGAAAAAAATGTAAAATTCAAGCCAGAATTTGATAAAAACCACAGATTCCTCGTGCCACCTCCTCGCATAAGGTACAAAAGGTAAGTACAAGTATGAAGGTAAGTATAAAAGGTAAGTAAAAAATTAAAAATTCAAGCCAGAGCGACATAAAAACCGCAGATTTCACGTGCCACTTCTTCGCATATCATGTGCTCCTGATACCAAAATGTCAAATCGGCCCAGAATTCGAATTTCTACCAAAATCGAGCCCCTTGAAATAGGCAACCATTTTGTATGTTTATCAAACCAGTTGCCTGCTCGTAGGCGCTGGCGTGCCACTTCCTCATATATCATATGCTCCTGATACCAAAATGTAAAATCGGCCCAGAACTCGAATTTCTACCAAAATCGGGCCCCTTGACACAGGCAACCATTTTGTCTGTTTGTCGAACCAGTTGCCTGCTCGTAGGCGCTGGCGTGCCACTTCCTCATATATCATGTGCTCCTGATACCAAAATGTCAAATCGGCCCAGAACTGGAATTTCTACCAAAATCGGGCCCCTTGACATAGGCAACCATTTTGTCTGTTTGTCGAACCAGTTGCCGACTCGTAGGCGCAGGAGTGCCCCTTTCATGCGGCTACCTATGTTATCAGTCTTGTCGTTTCTGTTGCCATCTCGTAGGCGCAGAAGTGCCCCTATTAGGCGGCAACTTTTACTAGCCCGATTGTCATCTAAATGTAAGTTTCTTAAAAGTGCTACAGTACAGACTTATCAACTACAGGTTAAATAAAATAACTCGATTCCAGGAATAATTAACATGTATTTAATCGACTTGTTGAAAGAAGTATACATGCTTAATCTATTAGTTACGTTGTTCTAATTTTGTATCCTACAAAAATAAAAATCGAGGCCTTTCTCTATAGTTCTAAAACATTTCAGCGGCTATTCTACTATAAAAGCGAAATCTATATTAACAGGTATCGACATCCATTTATCACAAGTTGCACAATATCAAATTATGAACATTTTTAAAGGACACCTAAGTTTGCACTCAATACAAATTCTACGATTGGTTTACATAACTGACAATATAACGTGAGCTTTTAAATTAGTTCAGTCTATTAATTAAAATCACTTCGCAATTAAACGCACTCGCACACGCACACAGGCACACACACGCACAAATATACAATTAATAAACTTGTACATCGAATCATGTTTTATGAAAGTATAATAAATAATAGTAATTAAATATCTCGAATATATTTGGAGAAATGAATTCAATTTTCAGAATTTATTAGACAAAACGAATACGACTATACTGGCACTACTAAGTACCAGAATTTTTGCTGCTTTATCCATAAGGGAATGAATCCATGAGGTTTTATAATTTTAAACATCGATGGTGGATATTTTCCATTTAAGAATTAAAAATTAACATTTGTATCGAGCAGTTCGTCTTTGACAGGTTGAATGTGTACAGTCACGGAGTTCTCGAAGAAGCCACTAGATATTAACCGCACTGAAGTAACGCTGTATTCTACCAGCTCGCTGTAGTCTGAAACAGGAAACATTTTTCCACGATTACCACTAAATTCGCAGATATTTAAAAGTCTGGTTTAAGCGCGAGTGAAATAGTAGATTGTTAACCCAATTACCTGATTTAGAATTCATCCCACAGACAGAATCTACTATCTGTACCTTAGTAGTGTCTAAACCATCGCTGCCTCCGATTACTACTTGATCATGCGGACTGGTTTCGTCACACTGAAAACAAACAAAACATTTTCTATCACCCTTTCGCAAACTAAATCTCGTTTAACACGTTGAACGCCACGTCACCCACATATGAGCGACGGAGCTTTTCACTAAAGAATTTTAATAAATAATTTTAAGGACTAAGTATTGATGAAAACAAGTCTGGATAGAATTCGTAAATTTCGATGAGAATTCAAAAATAAGTAATACGATAAGTGTTAGATTCTATCATTTCTAATTGTCTCGCGACGAAATTTTAGTCCTGTAGCCATTGCCATGCGAATCAGTGTGGCAGTCAACGTGTTAAAGATCTTTAAAAACAAAAGGGTACAAACTTTTCGCAGAGTTCCTGTCTCAGTCGTGCGAATAGATCCGAGTAGATTCGTAACTCCAACTCCTAGGGCGATTATCTCCACAGTTCCTGGGTACAATGCAACGTAGGTGCAATTTATGCGTCTACCGTAATTGCGAAGCGTGAAGGGCTCGGAGAGACTCGCTGCCAAGACATTACATGCTGCAATGTAAGTAAAATGTTTCTTTGTATTATTGTCAATTTGTTTTTTCTTTTAAGGCCCCATACCACAGTGCGCGCTCGGTAAGTGGGTGTACTTTTAATAATTTTTTTCTAGCAAACGATAAATGTTTATTTTTTCATTGATACTGCTTGATGAGGTTCAGTGAGGAAAAGGAAATAAAACGTGCGCAGTTATTTGTGTTTCTTAAATAATATAAAGAAAAATATATTCAGTTTGTGGTTAATTTAACACACTAAATGAACACTCATTATCTGCGATTATTATGGACGATGTCCTTAGATTATAACATACAGTTCTCGAACCACACTTTACTGTTTTACGCTTAGCACGTTCGTTCATTCCGACATTCTAACAGGGTCTTCCCCGGACATTCCCACTCGCACGCGCTCTGTTGTTTCTCAGTGTTGCCACCTTTGGTTAAGAGACGCAATACCAATCTCTGAAATTATTTCTCTAACACTGCTATCCAATATATACATAAATAAGACACTACACAAAATGACACTCTGCCGAAGTTTCTGCTTGGTGGGTTGCCATCGATTAAGCCATACGGTTCATTTGAAGAAAAAAATATATATATATTTATAAACTAGACATATAGGTTTATAGCATCACGTAGAGAAATTTCGATATCTATAAGGAAAAAAAAAATGGCGGACCAGCGAATTTTATTTCCCATCTTCACAGACAATTTTCATTCTTTATGAATAAAAATAAAATAGAAGGGGACTCTTTACAAAGAAATCCCTACGTGGTACTGTAAACCTACATGTCTAGTTTATATATATATATATATTATTTTTTTTTTCTTCAGATGAACCGTATGGCTTAATCGCTGTCAACTACCAAGCAGCAACCTCGGCAGAGTGTCCTTTTGGTAGGTGGCGTACACCGCAAACTACTCGCAATATTTGGATAAGAAAATTTGTGTAGTGTCTTATTTATGTATATATTGGATAGCAGTATCAATGAAAAGAAAAAACATTCATCGTTTGCTCGAAAAAAAATGATTAAAAGTACACTCACTTACCGCGCGCGCGCGCTGTGGTATGGGGCCTTAATGTTGATGCAATAGGATAAAGTCATTTTACAGTGAGATAAAGGAAAGTGTTTTACTTACGCCTGGGATTCCTGACAAATCTTGCATAGACTGTGAAACCTTTCCCAGGCGCGGGAATTCTGTATCGAATGACTGCAACATTCTGCGAACTTACGAAGGTTCGCTTTCCCCTAAGACTTTTGCCACAGAACTCGCTATTCCTTTGCGTCAGCGGTAATCGATGATCCATTTCGCTAGGGAATACTTCTCCGTTCAATTCCCAGCCGTCCACGACCTGTACGGTGAATACAGAAATTACGTTAATTATGTAAACTATGTTAATTCGTTAAATTCAAACGCGACGTTTACAATTTTCGAATGTTTACCGATATGAGTCCGTGGTGCTCGCAGGGTACTTCGAAATTCACGAAATTAATTTCCACGTTTTGATCAGGACCGGCCAGAAAATAAACGCCGCAGACTTCCTCGTCGTTGGTTTTTGAAGTATATACGAACGATCCAGGCTCCGTTGTGACGAACATGCAATCTGTAAAGAAAAAAGATTTTAATGGTCTTAGAATGATAAAGCACGTAATGATGGCGTGTAACACAGGTGTATAACGATGTAATTTACCTGTGACGGGTTTCGAACGCGAATAAGGGTTTAGAAAGCCATTTTTCAGATTGGTGCGGTAGAAGTCCTTCGCAAAATGGTCTCCGGGTAGCTAGAAACAAATTTCGATCGATTTAGAAAATTCTCAATTTTGTTCAGTTTTTCGTATTGCTGCGTCCCTGCGTTCTCCATTTATCTAACGATCTCAATTTCCGTTTATCACCTTTCCCGTCCCACTGTTCCCGCGATCGTTCTTGATCGACTATCTTTTCGCACTTTTTTTTTTTTTTTTCTATTCTTATTTTAAGCATTACAATTCTCCCGCGACGCGTGACACTGATTCACTTATTATTAGAGATGCAACGACGGCGTTATTGACGATCGACACCCCCGACGGTGGGCTGCGAGAGGGTTTTGAAAAATTCATGAAACATTGTCATTTTTCACAGGCGGCTGTAACGCCCCGTTCCATCTATGCAAACATTTTATGGAAATATCGTCGAACG